TTTGGCAAATGTCCGGTCGATAAATATCCGGGAATAGCTCTCGAATCGGTGTCCGACTCGAGCCGTTATTTTGTGATTCGTCTTCAGGACGACAACGGGAGGAACGCCTTCATTGGCATCGGTTTCACGGATCGCGGCGACAGCTTTGACCTCAACGTCGCTCTTCAGGACCACTTCAAGTATGTCTTTCAAGCACTCGTGTATTTCCTGCCATTCATTCATTGATTCAATCGTTTGTTTACTTTTCTGAAGAGGAATCCAAAAAGAGGAAGAGATCGAGAAAGAGCCGCCACAAGACAGTCAACCGAAGCTGGACTTAGGCTTCAAAGACGGACAGACCATAAAAGTGAATCTCAATATCGCTGTATGTTTTGACTTATTATACAATTAATGAGTAAATAATTGAATTGAAATTATGATTGTATATCAGAAAAGGAGTGGTTCGGGCAGCGCTTCGAGTCGACCGCGCGTCAAACCAGTCGGCGGTGGACTGAGTGGCGGTATTTTACTGCCTCCGCCTCCCGGAGCCACTAAAGCGGGCCAAACGAAGACCACTCCAGCGGTCAAACCGACCGCAAACACAACCACAACGACTACTAAAAGCGATAACGACTTCCTATTAGACTTGGAGTCACTGTCTATCGGTTCCACAGACACGACACCAAACGATACGAAAACTAATACAAGTAATACGAACTCCAATAGTAATGATCTGTTCGGCGATTTTGAGTCAATGGCCGCCCCGAAGGCCGCCGACACCAGTGCCGACCCTTGGGCTCAATTCCAATGAATTGTGTCAATCCATTCATTTATATTTAATATAAAATTATTTCATTTAATTTCATTCAATTCACTTAAAGACAGATCTTTAAGTGTGAATGTGTTTAACGAATGAAATGTAAAGACATTTTAATGGTATTATAAATTTCTAAACTCATATCAATATACCGTATAATCGTTTCAATCAATTGTTTTGTATTTAATTTATTAGTATTTTTCTCCTTTAATGATTGGTTTATATTTTTGTTACGAAAACATATTTTTGAATTTAAATTAAATTATATATTTATACCATTTTTTTCAGTAGTTTATAGTCAATGCAAATATGTTTTAAGTTATTTTTCAATGTCTCACGTTTTAAATGTCACTTTGAATTTAATTTTGCGATTATATTGATATGAAAAGTATCTTAAAAATATTGTTGTATTGAAAACGTTTGGTTTGATTGTTGGACTCGATGTTAACAATAATTGTTATTCAACACAAATCCCTACAATTCCTGTAAAACACGTATATTTAAAGCCAAACACCTATTAGTTTGGAGTTGTATTCAAGTGGTGTTAATGTTAATCACATAAACAGCTAATATGTTTCAAACTTATTTATATATATTTTTAGTAATTAATTTAAATCTCGTTTAAATGACAAAAACTAATAAACACTTCATTAATGGCTCTAATAATGTTTGTCCGAAGAATCCGTTGTTTGCAATATATTTAAATGAAAAATATTTTTATTATTCAAACTTTACTTTACTGTTAACAAAAATATATACATACCATATATATAAC